TTTTTTCGTGCCAAAAACGCCTGACTATACTGTCGTTTTTTTTCTCGCGAAAAAAGCCTTACTATACTGTGTTTTTTTTCGTGCCAAAAACGCCTTACTATTATACTATGTCGTTTTTTTCGGCTAAAAACGCCTTACTATACTATGTCGTTTTTTTTCTCGCGAAAAAAGCCTTACTATACCATGTCGTTTTTTTCGTGCCAAAAACGCCTTACTTGACATGGTCGTTTTTTTGAGCAAAAAACGCCTTCCTATCCATGGTCGGTTTTTTTCAGCTAAAAACGCCTTACTATACTATGTCGTTTTTTTCGTCTCAAAACACCTTACTATACTATGTCGTTTTTTTTCTTGCCAAAAATGGTCGTTTTTTTTCAGCTAAAAACGCCTTACTTTACATGGTCGTTTTTTTGAGCTAAAAACGCCTTACTCTACATGGTCGTTTTTTTTAGCTAAAAACGCCTTACTATACATGGTCGTTTTTTTTTTTTTTTGTTGCTAAAAATGCCTTAGTATACGTGGTCGTTTTTTTCGTGCTAAAAACGCCTTACTAGACATGGTCGTTTTTTTGAGCAAAAAACGCCTTCCTACCTATGGTCAGCTAAAAACGGCGTAGTATACATGGTTGTTTTTTTCGGGCTAAAAACGCCTTACTATACATCACAGGTGTCAAACTCAAGGCCCGGGGGCCAGATCTGGCCCGCCAAATCATTTTATGTGGCCCGCGAAGGCAAATCAACCATATCAACTTTAGCAAGCATCATGGGATGCTTGCTAACATCTCGACCAAAATACTAAACACTCTCACATGTAATAAATCAGACACATATTGTAAGCATTTTCTTGTGAGCAAACCTCATTACAGTAACTTAAACAATAGTTGAATAAACGTTTATTATTGACTTTTTTTTTTATAGTTTCAGTCATAACGGCCCTCCAAGGGAAACGGTAATTAAAACGTGGCCCATGACAAAAATGAGTTTGACACCCCTGCTATACATTGGTCGTTTTTTTCAGCTAAAAACGCCTTACTATACATGGTCGTTTTTTTTCGAGCTAAAAACGCCTTCATATCCATGGTTGTTTTTTTGAGCTAAAAACGCCTTAGTATACATGGTCATTTTTTTGAACTAAAAACGCCTTGCTATGCATGGTCGTTTTTTGAGCTAAAAACGCCTTACTATACATGGTCGTTTTTTTCAGCTAAAAACGCCTTTCGATACATGGTCGTTTTTTCGAGTTAAAAACGCCTTACTATACATGGTCGTTATTTTCAGCTAAAACGCCTTACTATACATGGACGTTTTTTTCGAGTTAAAAACGCCTTACTATACATGGCCGTTTTTTTTTTTTTGAGCAAAAAACGCCTTAGTATACATGGTCGTTTTTTTCGGGGTAAAAACGCCTTACTATACATGGTAGTTTTTTTCAGCTAAAAACGCCTTCGTATATATGGTCGCTTTTTTCAGCTAAAAACGCCTTACTATACATGGTCGTTTTTTTGAGCTAAAAACGCCTTCCTATACATGGTCGTTTTTTTCCGGCTAAAAACGCCTTAGTTTACATGGTTGTTTTTTTAAGCTAAAAACGGCTTACTGTACATGGTCGTTTTTTTCAGCTAAAAACGTCTTAGTATACATGGTCATTATTTTCAGCTAAAAACGCCTTCCTATACATGGTCGTTTTTTCGAGTTAAAAACGCCTTACTATACATGGTCATTTTTTCGAGTTAAAAACGCCTTCCTATACATGGTGGTTTTTTTTTTTTTGCTAAAAATGCCTTTGTATACATGGTCGTTTTTTCGAGCTAAAAACGCCTTACTTTTCATGGTCATTTTTTCTTGCTAAAAACGCCTTACTATACATGGCCGTTTTTTTTTAGCTAAAAACGCCTTAGTATACATGGTTGTTTTTTTAGCTAAAAACGCCTACTATCCATGGTCGTTTTTTCCGGTTAAAAACGCCTTACTATACATGGTCCCTTTTATGCTGCAAAAAACGCCTTACTATAAATAGTCGTTTTTGAGCCGCAAAAAAAGCCTTACTATACATGGTCATTTTTATGCCGCGAAAAACGCCTGACTGTACATCGTCGGTTTTGAGCTGCAAAAAACACCTTACTAATCATGGTCGTTTTAATGCCGTGAAAAACGCCTTCCGATACATGGTCCTTTTTGCTGCATAAAACGCTTTACGATACATGGTTGTTTTTTGCGGGCTAAAAACATCTTAATATACATGGTTGTTTTTTTCGGGTAAAAACGCCTCACGATACATGGTCGTTTTTTGTGCCGTGAAAAACACCTTACTAATCATGGTCGTTTTAATGCCGTGAAAAACGCCTTCCGATACATGGTCCTTTTTGCTGCGAAAAACGCTTTACGATACATGGTTGTTTTTTGCGGGCTAAAAACATCTTAATATACATGGTTGTTTTTTTCGGGTAAAAACGCCTCACGATACATGGTCGTTTTTGTGCCGTGAAAAACACCTTACTAATCATGGTCGTTTTAATGCCGTGAAAAACGCCTTCCGATACATGGTCCTTTTTGCTGCGAAAAACGCTTTACGATACATGGTTGTTTTTTGCGGGCTAAAAACATCTTAATATACATGGTTGTTTTTTTCGGGTAAAAACGCCTCACGATACATGGTCGTTTTTGTGCCGTGAAAAACACCTTACTAATCATGGTCGTTTTAATGCCGTGAAAAACGCCTTCCGATACATGGTCCTTTTTGCTGCGAAAAACGCTTTACGATACATGGTTGTTTTTTGCGGGCTAAAAACATCTTAATATACATGGTTGTTTTTTTCGGGTAAAAACGCCTCACGATACATGGTCGTTTTTGTGCCGTGAAAAACACCTTACTAATCATGGTCGTTTTAATGCCGTGAAAAACGCCTTCCGATACATGGTCCTTTTTGCTGCGAAAAACGCTTTACGATACATGGTTGTTTTTTGCGGGCTAAAAACATCTTAATATACATGGTTGTTTTTTTCGGGTAAAAACGCCTCACGATACATGGTCGTTTTTGTGCCGTGAAAAACACCTTACTAATCATGGTCGTTTTAATGCCGTGAAAAACGCCTTCCGATACATGGTCCTTTTTGCTGCGAAAAACGCTTTACGATACATGGTTGTTTTTTGCGGGCTAAAAACATCTTAATATACATGGTTGTTTTTTTCGGGTAAAAACGCCTCACGATACATGGTCGTTTTTGTGCCGTGAAAAACACCTTACTAATCATGGTCGTTTTAATGCCGTGAAAAACGCCTTCCGATACATGGTCCTTTTTGCTGCGAAAAACGCTTTACGATACATGGTTGTTTTTTGCGGGCTAAAAACATCTTAATATACATGGTTGTTTTTTTCGGGTAAAAACGCCTCACGATACATGGTCGTTTTTGTGCCGTGAAAAACACCTTACTAATCATGGTCGTTTTAATGCCGTGAAAAACGCCTTCCGATACATGGTCCTTTTTGCTGCGAAAAACGCTTTACGATACATGGTTGTTTTTTGCGGGCTAAAAACATCTTAATATACATGGTTGTTTTTTTCGGGTAAAAACGCCTCACGATACATGGTCGTTTTTGTGCCGTGAAAAACACCTTACTAATCATGGTCGTTTTAATGCCGTGAAAAACGCCTTCCGATACATGGTCCTTTTTGCTGCGAAAAACGCTTTACGATACATGGTTGTTTTTTGCGGGCTAAAAACATCTTAATATACATGGTTGTTTTTTTCGGGTAAAAACGCCTCACGATACATGGTCGTTTTTGTGCCGTGAAAAACACCTTACTAATCATGGTCGTTTTAATGCCGTGAAAAACGCCTTCCGATACATGGTCCTTTTTGCTGCGAAAAACGCTTTACGATACATGGTTGTTTTTTGCGGGCTAAAAACATCTTAATATACATGGTTGTTTTTTTCGGGTAAAAACGCCTCACGATACATGGTCGTTTTTGTGCCGTGAAAAACACCTTACTAATCATGGTCGTTTTAATGCCGTGAAAAACGCCTTCCGATACATGGTCCTTTTTGCTGCGAAAAACGCTTTACGATACATGGTTGTTTTTTGCGGGCTAAAAACATCTTAATATACATGGTTGTTTTTTTCGGGTAAAAACGCCTCACGATACATGGTCGTTTTTGTGCCGTGAAAAACACCTTACTAATCATGGTCGTTTTAATGCCGTGAAAAACGCCTTCCGATACATGGTCCTTTTTGCTGCGAAAAACGCTTTACGATACATGGTTGTTTTTTGCGGGCTAAAAACATCTTAATATACATGGTTGTTTTTTTCGGGTAAAAACGCCTCACGATACATGGTCGTTTTTGTGCCGTGAAAAACACCTTACTAATCATGGTCGTTTTAATGCCGTGAAAAACGCCTTCCGATACATGGTCCTTTTTGCTGCGAAAAACGCTTTACGATACATGGTTGTTTTTTGCGGGCTAAAAACATCTTAATATACATGGTTGTTTTTTTCGGGTAAAAACGCCTCACGATACATGGTCGTTTTTGTGCCGTGAAAAACACCTTACTAATCATGGTCGTTTTAATGCCGTGAAAAACGCCTTCCGATACATGGTCCTTTTTGCTGCGAAAAACGCTTTACGATACATGGTTGTTTTTTGCGGGCTAAAAACATCTTAATATACATGGTTGTTTTTTTCGGGTAAAAACGCCTCACGATACATGGTCGTTTTTGTGCCGTGAAAAACACCTTACTAATCATGGTCGTTTTAATGCCGTGAAAAACGCCTTCCTATACATGGTCCTTTTTGCTGCGAAAAACGCCTCACTGAACATGGTAATTTTTTTGGCTGAAAACAATGCCTAAATATACATTGTCCTTTTTTGCTATTTTTTCAATAAAAGCCTGAGTATACATTACCAAGATTTAAAAAACACCTCACAATACATCGTCATTTAAAATTAAAAAAAAACACCTCACTAATCATGATGATTTTTTTCAATGGGTGTCTTTTTAAAAATGCCTAACTCTACCTGGATTTTTTTTTTATGCCTTACTATCATTGGGTGTCTTTTAATATGCCTCATTATTCATGGTCAAGAACCACCCCCCCCGCCCCCCCCAAAAAAAACCTCCTTACTATGCATGGTCATTCTTTGAAAAGGCCTTACTATACTTATTTTCTTTTTTTGCCTCATCTGTTGTATTCACTCTTCACAGTCACTGTTTATATATTCGAAGGTTTTTCTGGATACCTACTCTTGGTCACCTTCACAGTCAAGCGCAATATAGATTTATGCTGCAGTACTTTCGCACATTAACACATTTTTGTTGTGGCTGGCACCAATGTGCATCGCGTTTGTTGAATCCTGTTCTGCTATTTTTAACGACTATGATAACTTTGTCATGGTGAAAAAAAAAAATAGTTCCACACCTGTTGGTCTTCCAAATGTGCAGCACATCGGGATCTGGGATCTTCATGTTGTCTGCTTGACAGTCCAGGAAGTCAAAAAAATATTTGACAGCCAGTGGCGCTCTGCAGTTCGGCAGCCCCCAAATAGACCTGAACAAGTTCTCTACAAATGAATGCACTGCCACCTTAAAAGACACAGATACACATTGTGATTTCCTGTGGTTGATTTGCAGAGGGAAAAAAAACCCCGAACCGACTTTGAGGAAACAGTGTCGCACCTTGGTCGAAAGCAGTTTGGTGAGATGCACTTCCTTCAGCTTTAACTTCTTCCTTTCAGGACCTTTCCCCCTGTCCTCGTCCACATCAGGGTCAATCTGCAGGGACGCTCGTGTTTGTTATTGCCGAGTCATCACAAAAAGGTGCCAGTGCACATCGTGTCACAACTCGCCTCTTACCAAGTGGAAGTATTTCCCTGAAAAGTCCTGATCATCTGGAAGGAAAACATGAAAGCCGTTTTTAACTTCAAGATGTCACCATAAAAATATGTTACACCTTATTAAATTTGTATTACGTCCATGTCGTGAACAATCATACATGTACCATTGTCATGTCAGATATCACATCCTTAAAAAGTCTTATGATACATTATCGTTTGGTAAATAATGTCGTAGTACACAACATGTCTCCAAGAATTACACCTTGAAAGAAAACATGACTGACAGCGAATGAAAATGGCAATATAAGTGCAGTGCATCACATTTGATGATGTCTTCGTGACATGCTTGGGTTTTGCCATCAACCCACCTTTTAGACTACTCTGGGGGCTCACCGAAGGATTTTTTCTCGAAAGGACCTTGATGGTAGCTCCATCTGGAACCTCCACATAAAAACAACAGAGTACACTGAGCAGTCCCGCTTGTTTAAAAAAAATAAAATAAAAAAATCTCTCTCTCTCTCTCTCTCTCTCTCTCTCGTCACCTTGTAGTGCTCGAGCGTGTTGAGCATGGTCACCTCCCCGATGACTTCAGAGCTCGCGTCCACCTCTTCAAGAGCAACGAAGACCCCGCTCCTGTCAAACTCTGCAATCATACAAAGAAGGCACGAAATGTGTTTGGCACAGATGAACGCGAGTTTCATCATCACGCACAACCTGCGAGTCGGCCGACGCGAATCTCCAGACTCTTACCAATACAAACGCTGGTTTGCGGACCGTTGTAAGGGAAGCCAAACTTGGCCTTGAAGGTGTTCAGGATTTTCTCCTTGACCTGCTCCACCGTATCACAGTTGAGGGCGAGCACCTCCAGGGGCTCGCTGACCTCGCCGCCGCTGCCCACGGCAAACAACACCTTCAGCCTCTGCGCACATGACAACATAAACTCTCGTCTCACTGTAGAAAATTCCCTTTTTGCAATCAATTTCAAAACATTTTGATGTCGTGGTGGGAATGGACAATACTTGCTGGGAGTTCTTTTAGCATTTTGTGTGAACAAAGAAAATCCATTTCAAGGGGGTTTTGTACCAGAGAGGTGAAGTCTTGCGCCTGCCACAGTAGCCAGTCCTCGCTGAGCGTGTAGAGCGCTTTCTCCGTCACGCAGTCCACCGGCCCTCGGGCGATCTGCTGCGCGAGGGCGCTGACCAGCAGGAACAAGTGCTGGCCGACACTCTCCTGCACACAAGGCGCGATCGGGTAGTGTCAAAAGGGGGCGCCCAAGACGTGACGCCCACTCAGCAAAGAGGAAATAACTCGAGGGAAGTGGCACAATATCGAGTGAAGCATTTCCTGAAGCCTTAACTGAAAATAAAAGAGCACTCTCCTTACTTCTGTGTGGTAGGGAGAACCGAGAAAATCTGGTTCAGTGAATGTTGCCTTTTCATTTTTTTCAAATTTTTTCTAATAATTCATTTTCTAATCTAACTCGTTTTTTAACGTCTTTTCAGACTTGGTCCAGAATTGGCTGGTACTGAACGAGCTAAGACACATCAGTGCAATTCTACACCGCTACCCAATAAACGTCGCACCCGCATAAGCATGCGAACACCAAAAATCGCAACACACCCTCAAGAAGCCGTAAAGGCAGATGGACATCCAGTTGGTGAGCAGTTTCTCCACAACCGACTCGGTGCGGCGAAGCAGCATTTTGGGCTGAGCGCCGCCGTTTTTCCGCATCAAATCCTTCAGCAGAACCTCCATCACCTCGGTGAGATACGACAGGTCGCCGTGGAGCGCCACGGTCAGCAGAGACGCCAAGGCGCACCTGCGGCAGCGTGGAGAGTGTGACATGATTGGAGTTGGGAGTCCAGAACAAAGAGAAGAAAGACCAGCGACTTGCTGACTTGTCTTTAATGGTGAAGCTCTTCTGTTCCTCCACGGCGTGCACCATGCTGGTCAGGAAGCGCCGGTCGTGGAGAAGCTTGGACAAGGCCTGGCAACACTCGTCGAGACGGACCTTCACAGCCACCTGATCCAGATTCGCATTCCGGTGAGTCACTGTCCAGCCAACAGGAAGAGGAGCAGCTTGTGTCCATCATTACCTCGCCCACGTCTGCCATGCACAAGGCCATCAAAGCTTCGTTCTGGGGAGGGGAGGGGGCGTGGATGAAGCAAAAAGTTGCATGTTTTGCATTGGCGGCATGTTGTCCGGGTCAAATTTACCTCGGGAAAAAAGATTCTGGACGCAAAGTGCTTGTAGTCCAGGAAAGGAATGGCGCAGACGTTTTCCATCAGGTCCGCCTTTTCGGTCTGCATGTCGACAAAACCTGTGAGGGACACAGTCGAGCGGGTGTGATAACATTCTACCTTAAGGCCGGTAGCTCGTGGACTGGTCCCAAGGTGAAAAAAAAAGAAAAAAAACTTGTCTGGCTGTGTGCGTGTTATTCATGTTATATTTTTGTGTTAGTGCACACTGCACCCTTAGCATCCCGACAGTCTCACTTTAACAAAAGGTATTTAGGAAAATAAAATTTAAAAAAAGTAGGTCATCTTTAACCTACTGTGGCGCGTCGTCAGCAGAAGTTGTTAGCGCTCAGCAGTCTGGAATTGTTGCGATAGATCTTTCATTGTTATGATTGTAATCATTCAGTTTGTTTCGTGTACGAATCGCCGAGGGCGCTGGGAAAGAATGGGAATCTGGGAAGCATTTTAAAAACGGTAGACGTGAGCTCCGATTGTTAACACGCAAGTAAAAGTGCTTCCCATGCTTCCTCGTCTGGTCTCCACAAAGGCAGGCAGTGATTTGCTTTTCACAAACTCACAAACGTTGGTGTCGACTTTATTTTTCTGTTTCGTTCATCTTCGGGGCTGTTATGGCAATTGCTCATCAGGGCATGCATGTGTAAGTGCGTGCGTGCGTGCGTCTGCGAGTGTGTGCAGTAACGAGTCGATGGCGGGAGGTTGGTTGATCGAAAAGTAGCTCTTCGGTCAAAAAAGTTTGGGCCTGAAGGAGTGAAAATGTGCTCCGTTGTGCAGTATCTATCTATCCATTTATTTTTGCAAAAAACTAAAACAAACGCTTAAAAATAAATAAATCAAACTCTGCTTGAATAAAACTAAGAATTAAAAAAAAAGAAAAAAAAAAAGAAAAAAAAAAAACAAAAAAAAACCCCAATAAACTATAAAAGGAAACGTGGCCGTTGGATTCAGTGCGACCCACCTTGTCTGATGTCATTCCTGATGTCAAGTTCCAGGTTTTCCATGAGCTTATTCATCTTCACGGTCAGCTGCTTCTGTTGCCGCCGGTAAACCATCATCACCACTTCAAGATGGAGGCGGGGAGAAAAAAAAAAAAAAATCGAAGAAAATGAATATTGCAATATGACTTACTCATTAGCAATGGGGCTTTGCTGTGACGAACCGACAATAATGCAGGGTATCAGTAAAAGGACGATCAACATGAGAGAGAACAGATGGGATGTATTCTGCAGCATGACTGTCTTGTCTCCATACAAAACCTGCAGGGGGAAAAACAAAAAACAAAAAACAAAAAACGAACCAGTCAGGCGATGTGTAAAATTTAAGTGCACTCCGGTGCCGACCCCCCACAACAGATTCACCTTCAACTGACGAAAATTCATATCGGGCACACTTCGGATTTGGCAGATGAAAAAGTCCGTTTGGTTGTTGGTGTCTTTGGCTTCCATCACGCAGGGGTAGTCCTTCCCCTCGTAGACGCCCGCCGCCGACACGTCTTTTATGCTCATCTCCAGGTTGTCGGACGTTTTCTACAACGCAATGCGCAGCCAAATGAGAATGTGTGCGCGGAAAAGCCGACGGAACGTACGCGGGTTGAAAAATAAAACCTGGATGGTGACGCGAACGTCCTCCCCGGTTCTTGTGGGGGTGAAACTTGTAAAGTGAGGGTCGGGATAATAGATGATGGACAGCGTGCACGCCAGAGTTTCATTGGCGACTTTCAGAGACAAACTGCTGGTAAAACGCCTCGGAGTGCTCTCAGCTGCGGGTGTCCGGTAAGTCAGATTCTGCAACCCAAACAAAAACACACACAGTTGCAATAAAGTACCATTTCATTTCAAGACCAAAAAAAAAAAAAAAAAAAAAAAGGTCTTGTGACGCATTACAGGCTATATTACCCATGTATGCATTACATGCTGCTTTCAGGGCATGTCATCCTGCCGTGATTTACCACGGCGCATTCCCAAGTTTATGACGACAAATGCAGCTAAGTGCGCGTGAAGGCGTGCGTGCGCGCGCGCTCACCCGGGAGTTTCTGTCTATGGGAAGGCTGACTTCCTGTCGGGCGTGACTGTGCAGGACGCCGTCCACAACTTCAAGATTGGTTCCGACCAGGGTGATCTTCCTCTTTCCGCTGCACAGCACAGAGCAGCGTCAAGTGAAGAGAAAGCCAACCTCTTTTTTTTTTTGCGACATATAAAAAGGTCAAGGCACAGATTTCGAGATGGCTTCTCAAACTAAGGAGCGGGCCCGGTGACGTAACAATCACGATTTTCATTTCCGTGAATGGCATCAAAGTGAATCTCAGCCCACTGTGTTCTGACTGAAAGGATGTTTCGAAATCAAGGTGATTCTAGTGAACGAAAATAAATTGAATATACTCAAAATGAAAAAAAAAAGCAAACGTGAACTAAAGAAGGGCCAAAAAAAAAACCGATGAGGACGCAGTTAAAAATTAAATGACCATGATTTTTATTCGTTAATCAATTTTTAGTTTTTTTTACATTCTGCACAACTCTCATTTGTTGTGCAATAATCTCAGTGTAACATGTATTTGTTCCATATTTTGAGGCATTTTTATGCTTCATAAAACATTTATGTCAGAATTTTGGGGGGCTTGGAACGGATTAGGGCATTTACATGGAAAACGCGTCTCGACTTACAAAATTTTCTAGTTGAGAAATTTCTTCCAGAACCAACTAATTTCGTAAGTCAAGCTACCACTGTACATTAAAAACAGTCTATTATAACCCGGGTCAGAACAGAGATGCTGCACGAGGGTCGTCACCACTAATACAGCAGAACAGATTCTGAGGTCATGCAGAAACAATCAACAGAGTCCAGCAGACGCAAGCGGCTCCGAGATTGTTGCTCGTGGACGGCCGTGATAAAACAAATTAGTTTGGCTTGTTGCACGCCAAAATGCATGATGCTCTTTGCTGGACTTTCCGCAACAGCGCAACGCATCTTGAAAGTGGCACTTTCAGATGTTGCAACCACACACAAAAAAAAAAAGGGGGAAGGAGTGTGATGGTGAAAGACATCACTTTTGAGAAGCGGCTGACTTATCACAGCAGATGCCCCCTGACCTAAAACAGTTCAACTGTACGATCTACGAAAGGCAAATTGTGCTTGAGTACTTTCAGACTTTCCGAAAACTCTTCATCATCTCATGAACGTGACAAAAAATTTTTTTTAAAAGGACTCTTGCCTGCTCCAGGTGATGCGCGGCGTCACGGCGGCGCAGGAAGGGGATGACGTGTAGGTGACTGCGCTGTTGCCGTGGCAACTGCCATCCGGGAGCACCGCGCACACGCGGACCGTACCTTTGCCTTGGATGGCGGGAATGTGGAACATCAGGCTCACGCCGGTGTTGTTCCACACGGGGGTCCTTGAGACAAGGTGTCGAAATGCAATCGGTTACATTGCTGATCATATCGAGATTACAAAAATAAATAAAATCACCTGAGGCGCGAGTGTGAATACGAAACGCTTTTGAAATACTCACTCCTGTGGCACGCAGTCCATGCTGGTCAGGATCCTCACCCGGGTCACATGGCTGAGGTTATAGCCAGACAAAACAGCGTTGTTGTGCCCATAGAAAGACACAACATTGGGGGTGACAGAGGAGATCTCCGGCTTCTAACCGGAACCCAAACAGACTGTTAGGTTTTCCTTGAAACTCCATCTAGGAGAGATAATGCGAGCGCACTTCATCGTTAAGCGGGAGACTCACCGAAACATTCATTCGTGACTGAATTGTTTGGCAAACTTGGCGCTGTTGGAAGAGACACACAAAAAACAAAAAAAAAACAAAACAGGTTTTAACTATGTATGGATGCGGTTATGTTACGTGACTGTCATTGTTAGACTGACAGTACAAATGAAGGGCTGCTGCTTTTAATTTTCACTGATGCGGGGGAAAAAAAAAATCCGTTTAATATGCAGTATTTACGTCCATTACTCCTGCGGTAGCCCAGGCACAGCTGCCGTTGCTCCAGCGGCACCCAAGCTCAAAACATCTCTGGCACCTGAAAAGAAAGCGCACACCCAAGGTTGAGCAAGAGGAACATGAGCACGATGACCCAATTTGATCACCACGTTTTATTTATCGGCGTTTCCGGACTCACAGAGCAGCGGGAGGTGAGCCCCTGACGTCAGGGCACGTCATCAGCTGGATTCTTTCCCGAAAACTCATTGACCCCAGTCTGAATTTCACTGTCACACTCATCGCTGCTTATTTCAAACGACACAAGGAGGTACGTAAGGTATCGGTGACATCACTACACAGGTGAGCGATGAGCTCGCGTGTTTAGACGGTGGTAATTCACGAACCTTGAGTGGAAAGCGTGCCGTTGATGAGGATGCAGGTGCATTGTGGGAAGATGGGGCCGGGGCCGTCCCATCTGCAAAGCTCACCAGAACTTCCGGAGAACTGACAGGCGAAGGTGGTGGCCGCATCGGGATCTGCGCTCACGTGCGTGCGGACGTCCAACCTGATCTGAAAGAGGCGAAGGGTGAGAGTGCTGAAAACAAGCAAATGGACAACGAGCTCCGTTTGGTGACATCGTGTCGATTGCTTGCACCTGACCGCTGCTTTCCTTTTTCACAGTGTAGGAAATCCTCCGGTTCTGGTAATCGTCAGGGTAGGACAGCCAGTGGGAGTTTCGGCATTCGTCCTTGAACGTGCAACTGATATTTAAACAAAAAAAAGAAAATCGTCATCATCATTGTGAATTAATGACGATGTCAGACGCGATGACGTGTCCAACCTCTTTTTGGCGTGGCACCACACGCAGCTCGGATCCTGTGCCGACCAGCAGCCTTCCAGCGTTTTGTGCGCGTGGCACACGGACGCAGACACGCGTTGCACCTGCGGGGACAACGTTCAACGATAACGTCACCCGATCACCATTCGACGCAGCCGCGCGTTTCAACGATTGACCGGGCACAAACCTGGTTACTAAAAGCCGCGTACAGGTGCTTGCCATCCACTTTGTCCAGGTGCATACTGGGAAATACTTTGCGGTCGTCAGCCGTCCGGTAAAGTAACGTGGGACAAGTGCTGTGATAGTTTGAGTCCACACTTAGCTGAAAACCAGAAGCACACATTCATGACAATTGACTGACTGAGGTTTGGCTAGCGCTTAACAGTTTGCATTAGTTATTGAGTGAGATCGAAATGGCGGAGCATAAATACAAATCTGTGACATTATGTTCGGCACGTGTGGCCAATTTTCAGAGGCGGGGCTGCATTTCTTGTGGTTGAGGTCAGCCACAAAGCTTTGCTGCTGAGCCAGCACATGATCCACCGTTGCATTTCATTGTCAAGGAGACTTTGTGCGGTCCAAGTGGGACAAACATTGAGTGAAACGAATCTATCTGCGCGGGACTTCTTCAAGCCGAGCGATTCTTTCCTGTCGACCATTTGTTATGACATTTCATGTATGTCTCACTTGCGCTCGTATCAGGAGGCAAGCGTGCAAGTTTTTGACATCCAAACTGCTTTTCCTTTTCTTTGACGTTAACGACACTGTGACAGTCACAGTTGTTGACGTCTTTACTTGAAACTAACATAAGAAATATCCTTTTGCGTCCCAAAAAATAAAACAAGTACAGCGGGGTCAGTTGTTTTTTTTTTCCTAAAATGGTGGCAGTTGTGCCAATTTTCGTTTTGCATGTGATTGCTTAATCCTTAACACAGACTGCTTCAACAGGATGTGCCGACTTGCGAAACCACATTAGCACAGTGTTGTTTTTTTTTTTTTTTTTTTTTTACTTCCTCTGTCAAGATTTATATATTTATTTATTTTGGTCAATTGAGTTGTACAGGGTACAAGTCAAATCAATGGAGCAAAAGGTTTTGACTCAGATTTTATTTCGCCTAAACCTGGCATGTGTACGCTCACCTTAATTAGCTGTCCATCTGCTGTCCCGACAAAGAAGACCATCCAGGGCCCTTGTGTTGTGGCCAGTACAGACGTCATGGAGGTCTGCCTGAAGAGCACCTTCAGTGGCTGCAGCACCTTGGGCTGCCACAAACACACACAAAAAAAAACAACACCAACACATTACACAATAAACACAAACAATTGAGCCACATCACACGCGAGAAGCCAACTCGTCAGTGGAGCGGTAAGTGGAAAGGGGCTCACCGCAAAATTTTGGCGGCTGCATTTGACGGTGCTGCAGAAATCTGGGTCTTCATCCGTCGTTATCTTGAGATCGGGACTGATGTCAAAAAGAGCCAGCTGGGTGCTGCTGGGATCTAGGTCGACATTGAACACGCCGACCCACAGCGTCGAAGGCGGACCGGGCGAGACCGCAGAGGAGGCCACGAGTCTGCTGCCCTTCTTCCCGGGGATGACCAGAGATGCCCCGCGCAGCGATTTCATGGTGTCCGCCTTCTTTGTTTTGGCCTGCAGCCATATGAGCCGAACTCTGTTGCCGCCCGGTTGTGACGAAAGCACGTTGGCAAAGAGATAAATGACAGAATTGATCTGAAATCCATCCATGAAGTCCACATCGCCGCTACTTTTAAAGAGGGGGTGGGAGCCGTCACCGGAGAAGGAGAAGATGCCTCCGTCGTGTTTGTTATCCGTGTCATGGATGTACACGGCCTCCGTAAAAGAGGCGCACATGCTGGGCGGGGTCTCGTCTTTGCGCTGCTGGATGGCGGTCATGATGTAAAAGTCCCGGGTGGCCCTTTGAACGGCCACCAGGAAGGCCACCGACGCGCTGATGCGCCTGTAGGGCCCCACCGGGATGTGCTCCCTGTGGAGCACCGTGGAGATGTTGGCTAAGGCCAGTAGCTCGCAATAGCTGCACACGTTGTCCGTCACGCCGCAGCTGATGAGCGTGCCGTTCTCCACAAAAGGCACCAGCACGGTGACGCTTAACGTATCGTTCCACGAATCTCCCGTGACTCTGGAAAAGAGCGCGGTGTCACTTTTTCCCGTGAGGATGCCCGTCTGGTTGACGGCGTAGACCAGACGTAAGCCGCGGCTCAGCTGGTACAGTCTCTCATCTGTTGCTATATAAACGCCGTCAAGTGTGGCCACAAAGTGGCGAATGTCCCCGTCCACGATGAAGCGTCCACCTGTTGCCTCCTCCTGGCATTGAACCACTTGTGGCCAGAGAAGGCAGACGAGAGGCGTCGACAGAAGCAGTAGCAGCATCGTCTTGCTGTGTTGTGAGCTGGACGCCTCGCATGGCTCTCAGTCTGGAGTGGTGCGTAAACGCGCGCAGCGTGCCACCACAGAGGAGAAGTGTCTCAAGTGGGAGGGAGCACGCGCGCTGGGCGTCAAACATCGCGACTCTTTTCCAGACCGTTGTTGGAGCTGCAAAAACAGAAAGCGATCAAGAATTAAACGCCACCGAGGCAAAATACAAAGCACTCCACTAAACCACTGAAAATGTACTTTGTGTTCAAAATATATAGTTAATGTGGACACTTCCAATGGAGTCAATGACACTTGCATTTATACAAGCGTGACAAAAATTGATGAAGTTCAAAATCATGAGTTTAGCTTTATGACATCCACACGTGATGGGAATAAACAGATATGACTTATGGATTACACAGGAGCAAACACCTTAAAGGTGTTCATATGCCCACATTTTGTTTGACACTCAACTACTCATTCTAATGGCTAGAATTAAACGTGAATGCATTTAATATACTGTTTAGTTCATTCAATATATCAGTTTACAGTACATATGTATGTAGGGATGAATTGATACAAAAAAGAAATAAAAAAAGGTGCGATAAACGAATGAAGGAAGAAGCACATCAATTTGAAATTATTCCACACAAATTCCATCAGCAATGCCGGCATCTATTTAACCACTGTAATAAGGAAGAAAACGTGACAGGACAAAAAAATGTAAATGAAAGAAAAATGAAAATATGTCAAAGTTGATATACTGTATTTCTTTTTGGCCCAGCCTGTACATCCAATTATTAAAAACACACTTCTGTCCTCTTGTGGTTAAAAACGGTATAGCACCGTGACATCATTTGAATTGGAATTGACTCAACCAAATTCATCTTTATTTCGGGGGAAATACAAAAAAAAATCGAGTTGGCATTGTTTAACTATTATCTAACTATTATCCAACTGTATAAAGCCTTATTAAGAGTGAGTGGCTCCTCTGTATTCGACTACCGCCATGGCACGGCCACGATTTGTAGTTAAACTACGGTCTTTTTTTTCACGTAAAACATTCTGACTGTTTGGTCATTATTTGAACAAAAAAAACATAACAAACCTTGGACTCGTTTGATTGTAACGTGTTGGAATTCAGCGAATTGAAGGCGAGCGAAGAAACCACAAAATTGAAGCACCTGCCGTTCATCAACGCAAAAGCGCTCTTCCCGGTTTACAAAGTGACACAACGCCATTGGAGGAAAGCTGACCAATCAAAACGCAGGACACGAATGACGTTTTATTTTTATTTTTTTATTCTTCCAGGTGGGTTTTCCCTGTGTCGTCAATGGTTTCCACTAGATGTCGCTGTCCGCACTGTTTTGGTGGCACTGCGGGGGTTACGCAGAGCTCATCACTGTTGGGAACTCCGCGTCTTTATATTCCTGCTGACCGCCCGCTTGAGGTTCATTCACAGCAGCGAGGGAGCTGCTGTTCATCCTCCATCCGTCCTTTCTCCCATCGATCCTCCCATTCATCCATCAATCTCGTATCTGGCGTGTGTCGGCGCGTCCAGCTGTGCACAGCCAGTGTCGACATCTACCTGGAAGGGACACTTTGATTTATTTCCGTCATCTCCAGCCTGGATATCATCGCTGGCTGCAGACATCATTGGTGAGTCCTTTGCTTGGGCTTTTATGTCAGTCAGGTTTCTTAACATGAGTACATTAGCAGAACTGTTCCATCGGGAAAGTGCGCCTTGTGTGATAATTGCCCTCATCTGGTTTGGTTTACATCCAGTGGTGTCACACTGATACGCTGTGAGAAAAAAATAAATAAAATAGCGCTCGTGTGGGTTCATTCCTGCTCTTAAAGAGACAAATGTGCACTCCAAAACCACTTATTGGACTCCCAAGTGAATTTTTAAAGTGTCAAGTCTAGCAAGGGTACAATAGTAGTGACAATTTACTGTCTTTCTGCATCTCTAATCTACATGCCGATCTTCACCCATGTGCAGCTCTAACTTATTTCCTCCTCTTCTTCTTCTTCTTGTTCCTCTTGAGTCGCAGGACATCATTGACATTTACACGCGTCCCTGGCTGTTGCATAATACTCCATATGGCAGTTGTGCCAATTTTCGTTTTGCATGTGATTGCTTAATCCTTAACACAGACTGCTTCAACAGGATGTGCCGACTTGCGAAACCACATTAGCACAGTGTTGTTTTTTTTTTTTTTTTTTTTTTTTTTCCCTTTCCAAGTTTTTTTT